ACACACACACACACACACACACACACACACACTGATGATAGAAAAGAACGTCCAGATGTTTGTGTAGGTCTGTGAACTCCCACCTCCAGTGAACGCATCATAAGAATCATATTCTGCCTTTGTTTAATTCATAAATGACAAAACGTCTTAACGTCAGTTTTCAGCTCAGTAACGACGATGATGTCGTCTCGTCTCTTATCTCACATTGTTTTTATCAAAACTAATTAATTTAGTTGATCAATCAACATTCCTGATTTTAGCCGCTTTTGAAAAACTCAATTTCCCATAAGCCCGAGACACCACAGCTGGACAGAGAGGACAGACAGGCTGCAAATAAAGATGGACGACATGACGCCTCCCTGAAGTGAAGCCAAATCATCTCTATCGCCCCCTGGTGTCTGACTGCAGTATAGATCATAACCCCTCCTCCTCCATGTTAGCAGATGGGACATGAACCAAACTAAAAAGTCGACGTTAAATAAATGTTTAAAGATGTTTCTGACTTTCAGCTCGTTCTTCTCTGATGTTTGTTCAAGTTTCTCATCAGTTTGGTTTCATCAGGGATTGGGGTGATTGGGGTCGGGGGTTTTGTTTGTGTGTGTGTGTGTGTGTGTGTGGGGGGGGGGTTAAAGGTCGTGGTTTCGTACAGAGAGGGGTGGGGGGGGTCACCTCTGCTGGCCAATCAGAACCAGACTCAGGGTGATGCACAGCTGCCATATATGGGGTGAAGAGGGCGGGGCCAGTGACCTTAGATCTGAAAATGAAAGAGAGAGATTCATGAGTCAGTTTCACAGTTTGATGACTCAGCAAAGATAAAACCATTGAGGGGGTGAATCACTGTGTGCGACTCACTGTTGGGGGGTGGGTCTTTACATTCGCCCTCCTCGATGGTTACATCATCGATGGCGATATCTCCCTCGATACCGGAGCCTCGCACCCCCTCCATCAGCACCTGCGGAGACAGCGGCACACAGCTGACAGCAAACCTCCCTCTGTGTGGGGACTCGTGTCTCTTGTGTCTCTGTGGTTGTTTTGTGTCTTTGTGGTGGTGGGTGTGGTTTGTACCTGGAAGGCTGCGGTTGGGTGGAGGTTGACCTTGGCTTGTCTCCAGCGGTCTCCTTGGTTACCAGTCAGAGTCCAGATGGAGGTGTCTGTCACCGTCTGTCCTTTCTGTCGCAGGAAGACGTTCAGAGCTCCTGCGGGACAGAAACCAACAGGCTCAGGTATTGTTTGTCGTCCTGCTCCGTGCGGTCAGCCGTCACGACTCCGCAGTCTCACCTATGTGTTTCCCGTACATGTGGTAGAAGAAGGCGAAGCAGTAGGCGGGGTTGTTGCTGACGGCGGCGGAGGTGGAGCTCTTGGAGTTCATGTTAAAGGTGGGAGACAGCAGCCGAGCTTTATCTCCGTCCAGCCTCGGCCTTGACGTCTCAATGTACATGTAGAAACCTGAGAGAGCACCAGAGGTCAGAGGTCAGAGGTCAGAGGTCAGGTCAAACCAACACAGCAACATCAGCAAAGATTATTTCCTTTCCATTAAAGTTCATTGTTATCATTTTACACAACTTTTCTCATTTAATGATTCATTCTCACTGTTGTGTCGTGAATTCTTTTTACGGAGCGAACTGGTTAATTTGTGCGACGCCCTGAACACGTGAATAAACTCAACCGGGCGTATTCGCCTGTTCTGCTCCTGGAGAGAGGACGACTGATCGAGTTGCTGCGGTGAACGTGTTGTGGAGGGAGCGGGGAGTGAGGGCCCCTAGCCCAGAAGAGCCCACAGCTCGGGGCCTGTCCCCGGCTCCTCCAGGAGCTTTGTCTGGATGTCTGTAGGTTTCTAGCTCCACCTGAGGCTGAGCATCATTTACTTCATCAAATAACTGATGAAACCAAACTGATGAGAAACTTGAACAAACATCAGAGAGACGAGAACGAGCTGAAACCACAGAAACATCTTTAAACATTTATTTAACGTCTACTTTGACTTTTAGTTTGGTCCATGTCCCATCTGATAACATGGAGGAGGTTTATCATGTCTTTTATTCATAGAATCATTTAAAATCGTATATATTTGCTGTTGGACACGATTCCCAACACAAAAACAAAGTAAACAGAATCAACGTTAACGTCAGACCTTCGTTTCTGAGTAGAAGAATCGAACCTGTGACCCTGCCTCGCTCTGCAACACCAGCAGTGCAAACACTCCACCTCCGGCTCATCCAGCAGAAAAACAAGCGTCCCAAATTCATTTGGACATGAGCGTCGAAACACTGACACGCACGTTTCCTGTTTGATATCAAACATTTCCCCCCGAGGCTTGTTTTAATGAGAAGAAGAAGAAGAAGAAGAAGAACAGGGGGATATTCCCGGAGGAAACGAGGAGAAAACAACAAACTGCTGTTGTCTCACATCAGCTGGATGTACGTCGTGATTTGAACCTTTATTTACTCAGAGATTAAATCTGAGCACAGCTGGTTTCTACGTCACTGCTTCGAACGATTAATCCAAATCACATGATTTGATTTGAAATCCCTGAAAGAGAAACAGCAAAGATCAGCTGATCCAGCTCTACTGCGTGTTACTGTTTATTCCCAGACTCACCAAACAAACTGAAGACAGTTCTTCACAGTCAGCTGCTAGTACAGTTCTTTATCTAAAGTATATATCTAATGGAGTAGTATGTACGTACAGTGAGAGTAATATGCAGTGTTTGCAGTATTAGTGACAGTTTTTAATGATTCAGTTCTTCAGTCCTGTATTTCTCTCCACCTCAGGGTCTGATGACCAGATGTTGACAACCAATCACATTTCATCATTCAGCCTCTTCCTGCAGCCGGTGTCCTCTGAGACGACTCAACTGTGTCCCACTCAGAAGCAGGCTGTGACAGTGTGTGTGTGTGTGTGTGTGTGTGTGTGTGTGTGTGTGTGTGTGTGTGTGTACCCTGCTTGGAGCCGGTGTGGTCGGAGCTCGGCCCGGTGTTGGGGGTGTATTTGGTGTCTCGTGAGGCGGCGCTGTGACGCGTCCAGTCAAACTCATCGGTTTTGTCCTGAGAGAACAAACACAACGCCTCGTCCTCGAAGCCACACTGGAACTCCCCTGAACACACACACACACACACACACACACACACACACACACACACACACACACATGATAATTTGCAGTACTTTATACTAAATACTAAAGGAAAACACAACACAACCAAATATATGATGTTTATCGACTGACGTGAAAATGTTTCTAATTGACTTGTGTGTTTTGAAGAAGTTTAAGATGATGATGAATCTTCATCCTTTAGTTGAGTGGATACAGAACACATCTCAACACACGAGTCAGTCAGTGATGAGTCATGAACACTTGATATGTTCTCTGCTCATGAACACGCTGGACACGCAGAGTCATGTGTTTGAGTGAACTTACTGAGATGTGGATTCACAGGAGCTGTGAAGAGACAAGAGGAAAGAACTCAGATCAGCTTCAGGAGAAAAGAAGAAAAAACAAGAACAGAAACATGTTTGACATGATGAAGACACCCCCC